TTAACCAGGATGGTCTCGATCTCCTGACCTCGTGATCCGCCTGTCTCGGCCTCCCAAAGTGCTGGGATTACAGGCTTGAGCCACCGCGCCCGGCCTGATGCCTCTTTTCTTAGCCACACGTTTCTCTTCCAGGAAATGGAATAATAATTCCTTCTATTTTCTGATATTCTCTAGAGGATGAAGTAAAGCTGTGTCTGTGACATTTTTAGCAAATCAAGTACCAGCTTCTTGGTGTTTTCCTAAGATCAACAGCCAGGCATGAAGACATCAGTGGATTTAAAAATAGTGAAGATGGTGCATTTTATGTCATGTGTGTTCTGCCACATTTGGGCAGGCCAGGTGCAAGGGTTCACGCCTGTGATCCCTGCACTTTGGGAGACAGAAGTTTTGGGAAGATCACAGTTTGTGAGTGACACTCTGACAAAGCTGGAAGCCGTGGCTCTTTCCAGCGCCAGACTAGAAAGAACGCAAAGCAAAGAGCCCCAGGAAGTACCCACAGCCTTGTTCATCAGGGAGTCTGAGATCAGCCTGGGCAACAGAGCAAGACCTCATCTCTACAAAAAATACAAAACAATTAGGCAGGCGTGATGGGCGCGGTGGCTCACGCGTGTAATCCCAGCACTTTGGGAAGCCAAGGTGGGTGGATCACAAGGTCAGGAGATTGAGATCATCCTGGCTAACACGGTGAAACCCCGTCTCTACTAAAAATACAAAAAAATTAGCCAGTCGTGGTGGCGGGCGCCTGTAGTCCCAGCTACTCAGGAAGCTGAGGCAGAATGGCCTGAACCACGGAGGCGGAGCTTGCAGTGAGCTGAGATCGCGCCACTGCACTCCAGCCTGGGCGACAGAGCGAGACTCTGTCTCAAAAAAAACAAAAAACAAAAAACAAAAAAAGGAAACCACTTTGGGAGCATTATGAATTCCATCGTGTCCGCCACCCTCAAAGATAGGTTGGGGTCCTGACCCCCCGTCCCTCAGCATGTGACTTTATTTAGAGGTGGATGTTTACAGAGGTCCTCAAGTTAAAATGAGGTCATTAGGGTGGGCCCTAATCCAGTGACTGGTGTCCTTATTAAAAGGGGAAATTTCCACCGAAAAACAGACGTGCCAGCCGGGCACGGTGGCATGTGCCTGTGGCCGCAACTACTTGGGAGGCTGAGGCAAGACGATTGCTTGAGCCTGGGAGGTTGAGGCTGCAGTGAGCAGTGAGTACGCCACTGTACTCCAGCCTGGGTGTCAGAGAAAGACCCTGTCTCAAAGAAATATAAAGAGTGGACCAAGCCGGGCGCGGTGGCTCAAGCCTGTAATCCCAGCACTTTGGGAGGCTGAGACAGGCGGATCACAAGGTCAGGAGATCGAGACCATCCTGGCTAA